GGTGGAGGCCCCATCCCTGGAGACGTTCAAGATTAGGCTTGACGGGGCTCTGGGCAACCTGACCTAGTTAAGAGATGTCCCTGCTCACTGCACGAGAGTTGGACTAGATGACCCTTGGTGATCTCTTCCAGGACAATGCATTCTATGATTCTGTTTACAACCTACATTGAAAAATAAGAAAATTGTCAGCTTCCCTGTATCTGCAAATGTTACCAAAGCTTTAAACTGCTTTTTCTTTGTGACGTTAGAACATGTACAAGTGGAGAAGAAAGGGAAAACTAGCATGTTTCAGCATTATTTTGTTCAACAAAATGTGCACGAATATGAACATAATCTACTATTAAAGAATAAAAGATATTTTTTCCCCCCACAATATCAGGGATATGAACTACATGTAACAAAGTACAACTTCTGTGTGGACATACATGGTAATTTTCAGAATTACTCTCACATCCACTAGTAGTGAAATATTTGACAATTGATTTGGTATTTTGGTAAATTTTTGCAGAAGATAAAATCTTCATATTTCATGGGTTTACGGTAATAGGTCAGCACTTTTTTAACCATATCCCACATACTATATCAATAAGAGAAAGTTCTCCTCTTTCAATACAGCCCTCCATATATTTCTAGTCAATACTATAAAAGTATTGGTTATAGCTTCATAACAGCATGCAAATTGAAACTCACCCTTAAATAACATTACAAATAAAAGAAAAAAGAATTTAAATGTATGGTCTTGAAAAATCAGTTTATTTTAATTTAGGATCACAAACATTGATAGCATTTATTGAAACTACCTGATATTCCATTGTTCCCCTCAACGGAGGAATCAAGGTTAACTAGTTACTTCACTTCCTATTTCCATGTCTTAACGCGGATTTTAACCTTAACTGCTGATTTGATGACAGCATCAACTGGAGATCTGTTCATGGGAAAGCTGACAGGAGGTGGTGGTAGTACAGTTCATCCTAGTTGGGTTTCAGCTATTTTTTAAAGCTGTTTTGAAGTTTGCTGTATGTGTCCCTATTACCTCAGACTGGAGTGTTTTCCTTCTAGTTGTACAACACATACATTCCTTGACATGAATTTCTTCTTGAAAACTTCTCAAACTCAGGTCCTATAATGCAGACGAGGTTTGACTGATCAAACATGAAGCTCACTGATAGCTGAAGAACAAAGACAACCAGCTTCTGAAAGTACCTCTAGGATTTCCCAGATTAGAGAATTCTACTCCAGTACTGAAGACCAACTTTCTTGTATGGGAGGAGGGGTATTTATGCTATTTTTCTCCTTTGTATATAGACTAAAAAAAGTGATAGAATTGCAGGCACATTTTAGCTATATGAACTAATTCAGAACTAAATACATGTTTGAAAATATTGTTAGTCATCTTGAAGACAATTTACTCCATTAGACTATAATCTATATCTTATTATTTCTTACACCTTCTTTTCCTCAAGATACATCTGCGAAACTCCTCTGAATTTCAATTCATTACATCTTCCATAAGCCTAGACAATTCTGACTTTTCAGAAATTACTTTAGCCACCAGCCTCTTCTCCCTGCTCTTTCCATATGGCCCTCAGTGGCTGTCTGTCATTAGTAAACGTTTTTCTTACTCCAAGGTCAATGGGCAGCTCTCTGTCTAGTCCACTATCCTTATATTTCGACATTTCCTGCCCCTTCCCCTTTTATTTTATTTGTTCTTTTTCACTTTGTTATTTAGTTTCCATATCTCAGCTAACCCCATAGCAGTGCAACAATGAATAGGAATAGCACAGTACCTTTCTTTTAGGGATATACCCTTCTCAGTGGAACCTGGAATTCCTTATCAGTTCAGCTAAGCACCCTGTACAGCATGCATGGGGCAAGCTAGGCATTTTAGAAAGTATCCCAACTAAAAACCATGGAGTGGAGAGCTATCTAACTCAGGTGGTAGGGAAGCAGAAAATGGGAGTGGATCTTAAATCTTACAAATTGTGTGAGCCTAAGGGCATATTTGTTCCTTTTCCTGCAAATAGGTCCTTTCTTCATCAAGAAGAAAAAGTCAAACTTTGCTTCACAATGCAGGGGATACACATTCAATTCTCACTCCTCCCATCACTGGTTGTGGCTTCTGCTTACCAGAAATCTTAAGCATTTCATCAGTTTGAAATATATAATGGTATGAAAGTAAACATTCTTTAAGCCAAGCATCATAAACCAAATTTCTAGAGATACTATTCTGAAGGCTAAAGCACCCACTCTGAATTTTACCTGCCTCATGGAAGTATCAAGAGTAATACAAGGCAGTTCTCAGAACCATGCATAGGGAGAAACAAACATAAAACTGTTCGTTTAACACCATTCTTTATGCCCTCAAGAAAGAAACACAAGAGTTAAACACAGTGTACGGTCATCTTCAACAAAAAGAGCTGGTTATGAGTCTCAGCTGCACACAGCTTATCTGCACCAAAACTGGGTTATACACATATAAAAACTATAAGTTGTAAGGAAAAGAAGCCAAAAAAAGATTAAAAAAAAATACTTATCGATATTTAACAGAAAGTATGACTAACCACAATAATCACACTCACACTGTCAGTCTCTAAGTCTTCAAGACTAAATGCTTTTGTGGATAAAATTCTTCAACCAAATGGAAGTTACTTGGATCAATGCAAGGTTAAATGAGTTACATTTAATACACTATGATATACAGAAAGTCAGATTGAATGACTTAATCACTTCTTATCACTCTAAAATTTAATGATTTACTAGAAACTAATAAGTTGAGCTATTCTTCCACCAGGGAATCTTACAAATCCAATTTTCTAAAAACTGTGAATAATCTATCAAAACATATGTATTATCACCACCATTCTCTTTTAATCACAAGAGAATTTTATTCCCAAGTTCAACACTTTTTAAAAAAACTCAGTATTCCATGGCAACTATATAATTAATAAAAACAGGATCTTTCAAACTGCATTACTTCCATTCTAATTTAATTGTTTGCTTTTTTGTTGTACATTGTATATTCAGTGTAGAAACACCCCTTAAATGCTTCTACTTTTCATTGGACAATGAAGCCAATTTTCTATTTCCCATGTATGTCTGAAGAGAAAAGCAATCAACACAGTACAGTCAAAGAAAAAAGTTTACAAGGCTCCCCAAAATTATTATTTTACTCACATATACAAGTACCTTCTAGTAGGTCCTAGGAAGCAGAAGTTGACAGGAAATAACAAACTTCCTTGATTTAGTCGCAGAGGTATTCAGTCACATTGTGGGTGAATGGGAGGTGATGCATGGACAGCACAAAACATTATAGACGTTTTTGCCCACATATTCTTCCCAGCTTTTACTGAAGGTATCTACATGGCACGTTCATTTTTAACACCAAGCTTGCAGTGCAACTTTCTGTAATCATTGTGCAATGGATAAAAGCTAAAGGAATACGATTTCTACTTTCTTTTCAAACCAGCATTTGACATGTCATGCCAGCTACAGTATGAGGTGAAAGCCTCAAAAAGCTGAGATTTTAGAATTTTAAAAGACCTTACATATAAGAAGCCAAAAGATATAGAATGTAGAAAAGACATTTAAAAGATGGTTAAAAAAAATTCCTGTGATCACGGGATATATGCTATCGCTATATTGTTTTTCTCAGATTCTAACCAAAGTCTAAGCTCTTCAAATCAATTCTTGTCATCATGACCGCTTTGCATTATAAAATAGCTGCATGTATTTAAATTATTTTCATGTATCTGTGGAATAACATGCACAAAATATGTAGTTGCATGACATACAGATTAGAACGAAGATGTGGTATTGGAAGATTGTTTCTCTTGTTAAACATGACAAATTTGCAGCAAGGTCACCTATTACTAGAAGAGATGTTATTACCAAGAATTTCAGAGCTATGAGTGATTTGAAGGAGCTCTTTCCACAACAGTGGAAATATCTTTATCCTATCTTTTTAAACTCACGCAAGTGAAGGAAAAGAGGGAAGGAAACAAAGATGAAGACAACTACATGTGTTTCAGATTATTTTTGGATTCTAAAATTCACCTACTTCAGTGCAACTACAGTGGTTTTTTTCATACATAATGTAAATGAGATCATACTTGCCCAGTGATTACCTCGCATGATAGGCAGGCTGGAAATAACTGTTTACTTCCAACTCCTTTTTTGATCTGTAGATAGCTTCCATTTCAGCCTGCATTGTAACTTTTAGCAGTTGTATCAGATCATGATTGAAAAAACATGTCATCCATAACTCAGTGTTGGTCAACCCATGTAAACCCATGCAAACAAAGAAGGAAACCTCTTGATAACAGAAGGTGCCTAGTCTTTTTAGAGTCATCAGAATGTACTAACAACACTGTCTTTCGAAGTAACACCTGAAATATTTCCAGACCAAGCTCTACTCAGATTTTATCAGTGTCATAACATCATGCTCTTTAAAATGATACACTGATGCTTAAAATGTAAGAAGTGATGCTATGACAGTTCTATGATTGTTTTATATGCTTCATGGTTGAATGAAAGATGCTTAAAAGTGTATGAAAATTGACAACAGAATCAATGTTTTAATGAAAATAGTTTGAATTATATTGAAGACAAAATAACAAAAAGCAAAATATTACCTTTTAACAGATTTTGTTTCATAAAGAAAGGTAGACAAAAGTAAGATGGGGGAAAAAGAGAAAATTTTCAAAGCTGATTATTTAAAAATATTAAACAGAATAGGAAGATTGTGAGCCAAATCTCAAAAGCACAGACAACTGGAATCTGAAATCAAAGTGTAAACAATGAGTCTTCAGTTCTAAATTTAAAGCCCTTGGTAATACATACTAAACAAAATGTACTGCCACTCATGAATACTACATACAGAAACATGGAGCACCAGAATAGAGATGGTACAGCCATCCAGGGGAAAAAAAAAAAATCTATTATTAAACTAATATTAAAAAGGTGATACATTAAAACATATTCTTTTTTTCAAACTCACTCACTTGTGACCAATCTCATGTGCAATGGTAAAAGCTGAACCTAGGCCAATGTCTTCATTAATGCTGCAGCTCCTTTCAGGCTCACACATTCCAGCCACAGAGGCCAAGCCTGAATAAACAGAAGGAGACACAAAGGGTCATGCCAAGGTGTTTCAGTCTTAAAAGCCCTAGTTATAAATGCCTGGATTCTTTTTAATAACCTCTATGCACAGAAGGAGCAGTTGGCAAAAGGTTAACTTTCTAGTCATTTGCAAAATCACTGGGGGGAATTTCACTTTGCCGGCTAGACATTAATATTTTTTGAACTGCAGTCAGTGCTGGAAAATGTCTAGACTAGGGGTTAGATTTATAAATTTTACTTCTGGTAACTTGGGACCACCTAGTAACTTGAGCCAGGAGAGGGAATTCAAGAAAGCATTTCTATTTTAACATTCTTGAACCTGAAGAAAGCAAAATGTATCCACATTATTTTTCTAAAGAAATCTGTTTAAGTTTAGTGGGTTCATAAAAACATACAAGCAACTTTTTTAGTTATGAAAAGCCCCACACGGTACGTTAAAAAAAATTAAAAAAACCAAAACTGAATGCATCAATGAAGAGAGAGGAGACATGTTAATAACAAGTATTCATTTAACCATGGAAATCTTTTCTATTTATCACCCATCATCTTCTGGAACTAAAACCCTATTGTATTACAAGCACTTTCAAAAACTTTCTTTAGAGAGAGAACGCCATTGGCATTTACAGAATATGGCTCTTCCATATCTTACACATTCTTCAGCAACAGATTATCACACAAACTACTGCAATCATAATTCAGTGCCACTAGCGAAAGCTCTAAACATCAGATTTATTTAACCTAATCCTCCCTAGAGTTTCTTATCTGAAAGAAGCAGTGACACTTCTTGAAGGCAATTACCTGCTCAGTTAACTACACTGTAACAAAAAAAAAATTACTGGAAAAAGTAATTTTGGTTGGGGGATGGGAGGAATGGGGCAGGGAGAGGGGAAGAGAGAAACCATACTCTTTATATGAGCTGGCACTTCGAATTATTCTGTTCAGACTAACACTAAGCAAGTAGTAAGATGACAAGTGCTTCCTGGCTATGTCCATATTAGCAAGTGATTTGGAGCCGTAGGAGTGGTTCAGCAAAAGAGTGAAGCACTGATATTGAGGCTCCTCACGTAAATTTGTACGTGGGTTGGACGCTCTGCTTTGGAGCAGTTTAATCCAGTAGACTGAAAATGCTCAGTACATATGTGGTTCAAAGCTTTCTAAAGGGAAAAAATATTACAGGATAACATGAGAATACAGCCTATGTAGTGATTTAGACCCTAACGTCTCCTGTAGGCACATATGGAGCGTTTGTCTTCTCACTTAGTTTTCTCAAAACCAAATCTAGTTCACACACACCAAAACTACTCTAATTACCAAACTGACATGGGCAAAAGGTGACAATATGTGGCTATAGATTTTGCATCAAAACAGTACTATCGCTATAAACAAATCATCAGTGTAGACACACTCAGTGATGACAGGATAAAATATCACAAGAAAAGTGACTATCCGTGGAAAAAAAATCTGCGTATTTTTTGCAGTGTGCAACCTGTAGAAAATACAAGAATTACTGCTCACCTCAATTATAATTGAGTAAGACATTCTGAAGACAACATGGCAATACCTATACACCAACTGTTATGTTCCCCTGCAAAGTCCACCACATTTGAGCGAAAAAGTCATCTCTATCTTCAGATTTCATAACTGTGCACTTCCTTCAGTGGCTTACAGGACCAGATTAATGTAATTCCTTACCATGCTTGCAGAAAATAACAGAGATCAAGTCAAGAACTGAGTCTATGGCTCAGATTTAAAAACGGATTTGTCCTTCACTGGAGCCACAGACGTGCTGAAAAGACATCTGGGGTCTATCGTGTTTAAGAGGTAACATGAAAGATTCCCTGTTTCAGGAAACTAGAATAGATGTCTGACACACAAAATCCTTTACTTTTGTTTCTCCCTAGAATACCAATGATTCAGGTTTCTTCTGACATTTTGAGACCTTTCTGAGACTTTTTTTCACAGACTTCTTAAATATATGCTTCACTTTAGTTGCTGGAGGTCAGTGAGACCTAAGCATATTAAATGCCTTGCAAAAGAGGGCCACAGGGCCTTGTCTCTTCTCCAATTCAATGCCTATAACGCAAATAAATTGTCATGGTTGTGATGCCAAGGGTCCTATAACACTGAGTTGGAACTCATACCCTATGTGATTTTTGTTAAAAAAAAATTAAAATTAAAAAAAAAAAACCAAGTCTTTTGTTTAATAAAACATTTGCCAAAGTCTATCCTCTGTTATGCTGGATTCAAGTGAAGCAGAATTTTCCTTTATGCCAAAATTATACAGTAAGAACTAGTACACTTATGATCTATGTTAAAAATATCACGTAAAAATATGAAACAGTTCATGTGTGAATGTACACTATTTCAAATTTTCTTCTTTTAACACTTGCCCAGACAAGCCTATGACATCAATATAGATAGTCTCTTCAGTTTTTTCTCCACACAGATATCAAAGAAAATCAGTTACATTTAGAAATTCATCAGCATCATTTGCCTTTTTCTAAAACATGCTGTGGATATTGTTTATATATACAGCAGGCAAAATTCTGGCACCTTTCCCCATGTAAACTGCATCCCTGCATCCCTGTTCCAGAAGCATCATGCTGACTTGAGAGGAACTTGTGGAAAAACTAATGTGAGTTAATATCAAAGCACACAGTAACACAGGGAAAGACAAATCAAATATAATTATGAGCTCTGATGGAGAAAAGTATTGATAATCTGAACTAGCTGAATTAGAATTCTATGTTTAATTACTTCCGAGAAAGAGGCTTATGAAAGGATGTAAATTGAAAAGAATCTAAATAAATGTTACATTACTCTTCGAGTAATGTTTCTTTCATTTTAAAGCACTATTAAAAGTAATAACTATATTATAGTAAATAACCTCTGGTGACAAATTTTGGTATGGAGAGAACAATAGCTCTCCATCCTGCACCTAAGGTTCTTATATGTGCTTCTCCATTGTCAAAGCACTGTTTTAAGGAGTTTCAGTGTTACTGTGATTTTTATCACTGTGGCATTTTTCTCTAACTCCATGAAAGGAACAATCCAAAGCTGTACTCCCTACAAACAACACAGCAACAGCGTAAACCTCAAAGCCTGTTTCTTTTGTAAGGGTTTTTTTTTTTCGTTTGGTTTGGTTTTTAACTTTCCTGAGGTCTTTTACTTGTACGTACTTAACTAGATCATGGAGACAGGTTAAATGAAAATAAACGGCAAGTCCTCTTCTGTAAGAACTAAGTTTGAGTCATCTGCTAGGTTTTTTAAAAACTACAGCTGCCAGCAAAGAAATACACAGCATCTGCTCACTTAATTTAAACTTCAGCAATGTATCAAAGCCAAAACCCACCTAAGGTTACCTTTTATTCTTCATGTTTATAAAACTGCAAAATTTTGAAAGTATAAACTTAAAAATATCTATTCAGTCAATAAATCAATAGCTGACTATAAAGCAAGGAAACGGCAAATGCAACATGAAATTTCTCTTTATAATCTTACCAAGTGTTCCACAAGGCTTGTTTTTATAAGTGCAGATATCATATCTGTTAAGGAGAAAAAAGTAGATAAAATATGTCAGAGAATCAAATTTGCAAGATATTTTGTATATTTATCACATATCTGTATCACAGTTCAAGTTGTCAGACCACAATCAGCTTAATTACGTGCAGCCACCTGGTGTTGGCATTTTCTACACTCTGGTGTAAACCACAGGCTGCAGTACACTCACAGCCACTGGCCTCAGGCCAGTGGGACACCTGCCAGTAAGAAAAAACTGGTTAAAGTGGATCCTTGTAATCACCAGCTCCATAAAGCAGTCTACCATGCTGTTACAAAGTTGCAGCAGCATGTCTATAGACCACTACTGATTCAAAACATTTAACTTCTACTTTTTGAACATAACCAGAATCCTCTTAGTCGTCACATTTATCAACTAAACTGTATTAATTGTAACTCCTACTATTTAAACTTTGATTCTGATTAAAAACTATAACTCCTAATTATTACACCAACAACTACACAAAAAAAATAATCCTATGAACTGCCATTATAGTTCCCTGCTCATTATCTTCCAACGATTTTATGTGTCTTAAGAGTGTACTATAACAAACTAAAATGAAAAACTTCTCTGTGAAAAGCAAATAATGTCTTCAAATACAGAAGCTCAATGAGTTTTTCTGTAGTTAATGTGTAAGTATCTGGAGTTGAAAATGGAATGAAAATGTTTTCTGTGGCATAGCTAATAATAATATTAGCTGTGGTCACGCAGCTGTCAATTCATTAATTACACCTTCATATTCTGAATATGCAATCCTATGACATGGCTAGTGAAATGAGAACACTCCTACAATATCTTAAGATCACCAGCCATTTCTCTTAAAAATGACTTAAGGACTGTTATCACATAGGAGTCTGATCATAAGTGATATACCTTTCAGTGCTACAAAGAGTTACGGTCTGTCTGTAAGCCAAATCCACAGACAAAATAACAACGCTTAAAATTTGGAACAAATACAGTAAACTCTATGCCCATCTACACTGATGTGACCACATGGAATTCCTGTGATTTTTAAACATATTGAGTGTGGAGTAGTTTGTGGGATTAAACTCTAATTTTGAACTCAAATGTTCATATGCACTGATCTCATCAAGGTGGTTCAAACTCTGCCATCCTATATGCACATAAAGATCTCACTGATTTCCCATTTGCTGTTTGGAAAGGGGAAGGTAATTAAATCAGTATTCTTATATAAAATGTGTTGGGATATAATCGGGTTTTGTATGTCACAAAGCTCTGAAATGGCACAGATACATAGAGAAAGAAAGATTTTTACTGAGTATTTCCTGCCTTACATATTAAGGAAGCAAACTTCTTATTTCTGCATTTAGGACACAGCCTGAACCTAATCCTGTTGAAGTGCATGCAAAATTATTCCTCAAAGAAAGCAGACAGGGCTGAGGCTTATTTAGTGAGAAAACACAAACTTGCTCAAATTCTTTAAAACATAGTTTAGAAGGGAACACAATGAAGCCTGTGCAATACACAGGAAGTATTAGTCTTCTAACGTCTTTTAATATCCAACATTAATAGGAAAAAAAAAACCAATTAAAGGCATACCTCCCTAGATAAAATAGAAGTTTAAGAAGAAAACTAGTTCCACTAAACACAAGTAAAATGCTGTCACTGATTTCAGCAGAGCTGAAAATTTGCCCTTATGGCCTGAATCTGCTTACTCTCACACAGGTATGAATCTGAAGCTACTCCTCACCTTTAGTTCATCACAAGGAATCATGATAGGAGAGAATAATATTAAGTCCCTTGTACCTGTTATATTTTTGAAAAACAAAAGCCATGGCATCCTTCTGTTTATGCTGGGTAGTAAGCTTCTTTATGCATAAGCTAGCATTTGTAAGAAAATATTATGATAATGAAACTTAAGTTAGATAACAGAACTAAGGAAAACATAATTTTATTTTCCTGTACATCAATTATTTTTGCAAGAAAATGCACAGGTAGTAATGTATTCTAATTATGTCTTCTTTAAATATTCAAGTTTTGTAGGCAACAATTAATTTCCTGTAAAGAGCATTAATAAACTATCTTATGCCTCAGTTTAAGAGAAAAAAATCTCTTAAGTTTTCAATATCCAATGACTGACTTTACTTACATCATCTTCAAAGTCTTTTTTTTTTTTTCTTTTTTTACCTTTCATATGGATGGTTTCTGCACATGAATTGTTTGAAAGCTCTCATCATTTTTAGGTACCAAACTGCTCAAATCCATCATTTGTTTCGCTACACGGTTTACCTAAAGTAGCCTAACTTGACTTTTTTTTGTTTTGACACCACTTCCTCTAACTTTATTTTGAATTTCCAAGGAATCCATTTAACCCACAGATGCTGGGTTCCAAAATGCAGAAGACTACAGAATCAATACTTGCCAGATATTAGCTTCAAATCAAGAAACCCCTGAAATGACAAACCATCCAGATTACCCATGAGATAAGATAGGTCTAACTGCTATTAAAAAACCCCAAAACAACACAAAACAAAACTAAACTAAACCCACCACAAAGATGAAGATGGGCCATAGCTGTCACCAGGACCTCAGTAAATACTTCAGGAGTCAAAGACAACCAAAAGGCAAGTTCTCAAGCCAACAATTATCTCAATTAACCATTAAAAATTATAACAACAGTCACAAGAGTTACGTAAAAATGCATTTTGCAAGATGTTAATTTTATTTTTTTTCATTCACTGTCAGAATGTGTAAGAGTGCCACCACACGAAATCTGAATGTAAGAATACAGATATGCAGGCTGCAAAAAACCCCAGGATGAGATGGCAGCCCAATCACTTTGAGACAGCCAAGGAAATCCTTTGTTGGAAGAGATGGTCATATGCCTCCTAATAAACTGGGTGCATATGTCCCTGAAATATGACAAGAGTGGGGAAGTGGAATGTGTAAAGAAGTACGAGGCAAGATTGTTGATTACATGTCCATTCCAACCCTGAATGGATAAGAAGTCACTTGATGAGGCAGATGGGGAAGAGGTCTGGGACTTCTGGGTCCACCTGCAGGGCTGCTGAAGAGCCACATCAGACACGTGGGAAATGCACAATGGATGTACACATGTTGCTGACAACTCTGACAGAATCAGAAGGAAACTGCAGAGATAGACTCTTATCAGTTCAACAAGATGGTCAAGAACTGGAGCGGCAATAGCCGCCTATCATGTCATGAATCAAACAGGAAGGATTAGTGTGTACTCCAAGGGCTCTAAAAAAGGAAAAATTTCTAGTCTTTTTTGGCAGGATACGAGCATGTCCTATGCTAAAATATACATCTACACCACTCCACACAGGTCTAGATGCTGAAATTCTATTATCTGTATTATCAAATTATTTTAGAAGTCCATCAAATTATTAAAAAAAAAAGCTCCTTGCACGGATTTGGCCCATTACAACAACTAATCTCAAAGAATTCCCAGAATGTTCAGAAGGTGGCCTCATAGAATTGTGAACAGGAAAAACATACAAAGCTACTCCATTCTGGATAAGTCAGATTATTAGTGTGGACACTAGAAGTTCTGTGCCAGTGGTCCTCAGTGCAAGAAAAAAAGTCACTGACATGTTTATTTAATTCATTAGAGTAGACATAAGCTACGGACCATCTCTTGAAGAAGCCTGTTATCTGCAACTCTTAACTTTCAGAAAAATCACTTTCCTTTGCAAATCTGATGAGCAGTACGATCTTGATCATCGAGTAGGACACTTAAGCCAAATATATAAGATGAGTTCTCTGTAAATACTGTAAACACTGCTCAATATTGTCAGGTAAGTTATTTGCAGCTACAGCCAATCCCAGGCGCTTTAAAGGAAAATAGATTTTTCTCTCCCATCCAACTGCACACTGCAAGGAAAGGAAAAACTGCACACTGCAGGGAAAGGAAAGAAGATTCTTCCTGATCCCTGCAACCTGTCAGCTTGCTGTCCTAATGCATGTAATTGTGCAACTATGAGTTCTATGTAAGCAAACTGTATTCCCTTACTTAAAAACAAAACAAAACAAACAGAAACAAAACAAAAAAAGACATGTATGAATTCACAGGTTTGAAGGCTAGAGAGCCTCATAATGATTCAATCATACCTCCACCCACCCCTAGCATAAAAAAGTCATTTACTGTAGAAGCTACATAGGATAAAAAGCTGTTTCTTAAAAGCTATTCAATCTCACATGAAGAGTTGTTTTCAACATTAATTTGAGAAAACTTATACTAGAGCACAGATTGATACCTTCCCTGACAGAAGCCCCTCGCTCCACGGCTTAGGGAACTTCAGAGGTAGAGACTGCATTTTAGTATTTAATTGACTTTTTCTTCTAATGACCTTAGCACTTAGCTAGTTCCTCTTCAATCTTAAAAAAAATATTTCAGTGTCCATCTGGGGGATGTTGTTATGCCTTTATCAGCAAAGTTGAGTCCCTCTGTCCCAGAAGAAATCTGTCATGCTGAAATAATTTTTTAAATTTTCTTTTAAATCAGATTAATACATTGAACTTTGTCAGCATAGCACCACTACGCTGTGGCCTTTCTGCCACCTTCGAGCTCTAACACTTTTTAAACTTTCTGAGGCGTATTACAATTCAAAAAGTTGTTCTACTAGTGGTATTAACAGTAGTAGACACAAAGGCAAAATTAATTACTTCTTCTTACATGTTAATGTGTATTTGTACACTCTAGGATAACACTGACCTTTTCACCAGTCTGATTATGTGAAATGGCCCACTAAAGGAAAAAAGTCTCTATAAAGCACTGTCATTACTCACTGTATGTCACTGGAAATGTCCATTGTGCCTGAAAGAAAGACTATCTGCATCAAATTAACACTGACATAGAAACATATCTGTAACAGGATTGGAAACATATGAATACTAGCACTGGACATACCTTTAAAGAATTTAAGTAATCAACAAGATTAACCCACAGTGTTTGTTTTTTTAAGTATGACAAATGAATAAAGCTTAAAACTCTTCTTAGAAATG